ATTTTACGTCTCCGTCTTTACGACAAACGTTCTGGAAAATATTAGCGTTTCTTGTTCGTTTTGACTTCGTGTGGACGGGGCCTAAAGCGCTAAGTTAGCAACACTGCTCTTTGCATCGTTTGTTTTCAAATGGTTTGCTGCTGTCTGTTTGGACCTTTCTGAACATGTGCAGCAAATGGACATCCTAACTGTCCTCCTAACTGCCAATCATTCTGGTGTTATGTTTACGTCAGGCCGTCCTATTTGCTCGTCCCCATTCTCATTTACTGGTGGTCAGTCCGACATAGTGGAAAAACTGCTTGTATGAGCGAAGCAAACAGCAACTTTAAACTGTGTGCACAAGCCTTTTGGAACCATTCGCACCACTGTTTGCACTGCAGACATCATGACTGCTACTCAGCTCATGCTACCATCTGCATTATTTGCACTAAAGCCACTGTACTGTGCAGTAATAATAATTGCTGTTACAGTTACATTGTTTACATTGACTATTTGCACTAGTCATCCATCAGGACCACTGTAATGTTACTTTGTAAAAATTTACCGTTACACTTCCCATCTGCACATTTGTAATCTTCTTTAGTATTTAAACTAGTTCGTTGTTAGATTTTTAGTTATCCGAGCAGATACCTATATTTATTTTTTTAATATCTTAAGTTTTTTTTTTTTTTTTTTTATGCTATGGTTCATTATATTTTATTATGCACCGTGGGGTTGAGAGGACTGCGTTGTATGTTTACCATGTAGCACATTTGACAATAAAGTTGAGTTGAGTTGACAAGGACAAATTGATCATTTTGGTAAATGATCTGAGTTTACTGCACCGACTGAATGTTAGGCCCCGTTACATCTTGCCGATTTAGCCACCATGACTTAAGGCTGATTTAGAAACAGGGTTAGTCTGCGTGTGCCTCGCCATGAAAGCAAATGACCCAAGTGTCTCTTTCGCAGACACCTCTCCCAAATTGTAGGTGACCGCAGACAGTAGGCCTCTGATTGGTCAAATCTACATCCGCTATACTCTATGCGTATTTCCTGTTTGGTACCTTAGCGGCTTGTTTTGTTTGTATGACTGCCATTGTGGAAAACGACTCGTAAAAATGGACCAGCTAGGTGTGTGAGAACGCTGGGACCCTTTTTCCACCTGGATCCCTGCTCTTTTTGGCCCTCATGTCCCTCCGTTGTCGCACAAACTTGCCCCCACTTCCTCGGCCGTATCTAGACCCACAGCTAGTTACTGGTTGTCCCTTTTGCGTTTTGGCGTGGAATATCAAAAATATCGGTGACAATTTCACTGCGACACACTGCTGATAACCAGGCCTTTATGATTAACTTACACTTAACGTATGTCAACGATCCGATAACTTACCTGTAACGTATGCCCCACGTATGGCATACGTCAGAAATTATGCCCAAAATTTCCTGACATACTCGCTGTATGTCGATGTGTTTCAGCGTACTCTAGCGTGTTCATAACTTTTGCAAAACTTATCCAACGTATGGCAGCGTTTTTTCTAGATTTTTCATACGCTGGTCTTAATAATCAAGGTGTGACAGGAGCTTTGACCTGCGTACGAATGAAACCTGACAATCTAATGATGGTGCTCCTCTAGGAGAGGTACGGGTCCCCCTGTGGGTCAAGAAGGGCAGCCTCCGGTTCCCTAAGGAACAGGAAACTCCTGTGATCATGGTGGGACCCGGAACAGGAGTCGCCCCCTTCAGGTCAGCGCTGCAGGAGAGAGTTTCTGAGGGGAGAACAGGTGAGATCTTTGCTGCTTGGTTCCGTTTCCTGTCGTCCCTCTGAGACCCATTCCTCCTCTCCAGCCAACGTTCTGTTCTTCGGCTGCCGCTCCGAGTCCAAAGACTTCTACTTCCGCTCTGAGTGGGAGGACATGACAAAGGCCGGTAATCTGCGGCTCTTCACGGCTTTCTCTAGAGACCAGGTCAGAACGCCCCTGAAACAGATGAACCGACCCGCTGTGGGCTCGGTTATGACCCAGTAGATGTGTGATGGTGGATTTCTCCCGTCTGTTTTCAGGAGGAGAAGGTGTACGTCCAGCACCGTGTGAAGGAGGCGGCGCCGCTGCTTTGGGATCTGATAACCAATAGGAAGGCCTGCTTTTACATCGCTGGGTGAGTCTG